AGATGGTTGTAGATCCTGAAGTGCTTAGTGGTTAGGAGCACTTAATTTTCAGGAAATTATCCCAGGGCTAGCAGTCTCTTATGCCCGTGTTGAGGTCTTAGTCCGCCAGTCTCCTTGCCACTTCACATTTGTCTGCATGTCTATAGTGAGACAGAAGTGAGCCTCAGATGTTGTCTGAAGGAAGGCCTGTGGCACTCTGGGGACTAAAAGCAGAAGACTGAGGGAGGTGGCAAGTTCAGGGATAGAGGATCACAGAGAAGAGGAAGAGAGCCACGTGGTGGATGCACTGCCACCCTGTGTAGGGTTTTCTCCTTATAAAGTATAGTTCGAGGTAGGTCTGGTATTTTTAGGTATCAGACTGTTGATATAGGAAATGTCAATCATCATGAGTACCATTTACCATATTTCAGATTATAAGGCCACAACGAGAAATCATTAGTCTGTCTTTGAAAGTCAGGGGAATGGAGTTTGGTGAATGCCCTTGATCGTGACGACCAACAAAGATGAGTGCAACTAAGACACTCATCTCTTTACTCGACATTGGCTAGAGTTTCTTAGCCCTTGACTCGTGTCTTAGCCCATATGAATCCGCATAGACTTAGAATGGATAAACGATTGCCTTTCCCAAATCGGAAATGTTTTCACTTAAGTTGGCTAGATGGAAAAGGACATCTTAAATGAGGCACTATTCTTCATGGATTGGTTCAAATAACATTTAACGAGCCCATATTTAGTGCCAGGTACTGTTCCAGGGCTGAGGTTATGGCGATTAAAGGTACAGACTCTGCATTTGGGTAAGGAGTGGAGGAGGGACAATCAAGAAACTAGGAATTCTCAACGTGGTGAAACCTCATCTCTACTGAAAATACAAAAAAATTAGCTGAGCGTGGTGGTGCACGCCTCTAGTCCCAGCTACTTGGGAAGCTGAGGCATGAGAAGTGCTTGAACCCAGGAGGCAGAGGTTGCAGTGAGCTGAGATTGCACCACTGTACTTCTGCACTCTAGCCTAGGCAACAGAGTGAGACTCTGTCTCAAAAACAAAACAAAACAAAACAAAAAAACAAAAAACAAATTCTAAGCCTAATATGTTGTGAGCTGTGATGGAGATGTGCACAGAGTGGTCTTGAACCCCAGATGGAGGCACATGAACTCAGGGCTTCCTGCCATGGCATTTAAGTGTGAGTAGAAGTTAATTAGATAATAAAGGAAAGTTAGGATGTTCTGGGGGATGGGGAGTCCCATAGAAAAGTGAAACACAGCATATATAATGAGGACTACTGGAAGTGTGGACTGCCTGGAGCTTAGAATGGAAAGTAAGACTATATACGTCCGTCTCTTCATTTCCAGGGTATCTGGAAGGAAAAGAGGAGTGAGAACAAGATGACCAATGACTTCATATTTTACCTGAAGCTAATTTTCCCATTATTGTCCTCTTTTAGAATTTTGGTGATCTGATTCAAGAGGTGGGGTTTTTCACTTCAAAATTGCAGTGGATGGAGGATGAATAGCCGGATGTGTCGTTGTCACGTTTGATCATTGCTTTGTGTTTTGCTACAGCTGCTGCCTATTCACACTCTGAGGCTTGGTGTGGAAGTGGATTCCTTTGATGGGCACCATTATATTTCTTCAATTGTTTCTGGTGGTCCTGTTGACACATTGGGTCTCCTACAGCCAGAAGATGAGCTGCTTGAGGTAAAATTTACGGGGAAAGAAAGACACAGGCAGGAATTTTTAAGTTTTAGAAAAATGTGTTCTCATCACA